CCGCCGCCGCCGCCGCCGCTGTAGCCTCCGCCTCCGCCACTGTAGCCACCGCCCATGGATACCTGGCTACTCTGCACCGCTGTTGAGGAAAGGACCACGTAAATGGTTCAGAAGGACCTGGCAGGGGGACTTAACTGCACTACCCCTTCAACCTAAGGGCTCCTACATCCTTGATCTTTGGTGGCACCGATTTGCAAATAGATAACCCCCCAACTTGCAAATATACACTTTGGACATCAAAAGTATTTCCATTTAAAAATCGCTCTTCATACTACAAGGATGTCAGTGCTCCTTTAAGTAACACATTCTTCTTGTTTATTGAATATATGCCCTAAAGTGTTCTAGTCACTGCTGAGATTGGGTATCACAAAAGTTTAAGATACACAGACCTAAAAATAAATAAATAAATAAATAAATCATAACCATTGCAACAAATTCTTCTAGGCGTTGTGGTGACATTAGTATACTTTGGTATTTTTTCTTCTAGATTAGAAGCAAAAGCGCCCAATGCCAATCCCTGCTGGTCCCTGGCAACCCTACCAAGCCCATCCTCTGCCCAGGGCCAACCAGTCTCTATCCCTGGACTCTGATACTTACAGATGCTCACATGGCTCTGCAGCTCTCCTGACATCCTGTAAAACCAAAATACAGTCATTAACCACACTCATGAAGCATCAGGACATCAGTGAAGGCAACCTGAAGATAACAGAAGCAGAGATGTCCCCAAGCCTCAGGAAACTGTGTGCATGGGCAGAGGCCAAGGAGACAGTGGGGCCAGAGGACATTTTCAGCATTTTCACAAAATCTTTTAGCATTGGGGTTGTCCACCTGGTGGCATGGTGTGAGCTGGCATATGGAGACACTGAACTTGGAGGTGGGTGATGGTCACAATGACTTTTCCTATACCCTGCCAATTCACACATCTTCTGTTTCTAACTCTAATATTTCCGCTTACACTGGACCACCAATCTTCCCAAGAAATCTGGGAAGATTATTTTCTCTCCATCCTGGAAGCACACGGTCCATGACTACATCCTCATTTTGGCTGAGAAACATGACTGCTACACCCACCTGCTCTCCTCTCCCTCCAGCAGCTTGCGGTAGGTGGCAATCTCAACATCCAGGGACAGCTTGGCTCCCAGCAGTGCCTGGTAGTCACGCAGCAGCCGGGCCAGCTCCTCCCTGGACTGCTGCAGGGCCTCATCCATGTCCTGCAGCTTCTGCTTGGCATCTTGGAGAGCTCGCTCTCCTCTCTCCTCTGCATCCGAAATGGATGAGTGCATCTGTTCAATCTATGCCAAAGACAGTTGGAGAAACACATAGTGTTGAGTTTGGGGAAGCTGATCTAGCAGAACATTATGGAAAGCAAGAGGACTGGTCAACCCACCCTGAGCACTTGTCCTACCTGTTTCTTGACATTGCCAATCTCTGCCTGCAGCCTCTGGATGGTGCGGTTGAGCTCAACAATCTCCATCTTGCTATTCTTCAGGTCATCTCCATGTTTCCCTGCTGTGATCTGGAGCTCCTGGTACTAAGGTCAAAGGTGACATCATAGTCAGCACCTGCTACTCACCTCAAACTCCTCCAAGAAGGGATGGGTCTAGGCTGCTCTCCCCTGGGAAGTTCCAGAATAAGCCCATCTGGAGCTGTGGTTCTACACATGTACGCATACATATCTCTCACCTGAGCCCCAAATATGCATATACGCACGTGCACGCGCACACACATACACACACACACACACATACACACACACACACACACACACACACACACACCTCTGTACTAAAGGCCCTTCATTCCCACTCTGGGCAGGTTTGTATTCCAGTCAAAGTTGCTTCCTGATGCCCTTTTTCACAGGCCTAAGCCTTCACACTGGTTCTTGCCCTCACTTTTTATACTCCACCATATTCCTTCATATCCTTTTCCAGAGTGATTTCCCTAGCAGGCAGGGCCGCCCATCCTCAGAAGCCCTCAGCATCTTCCACATTCATTCACATTTTCCTGTCTCTGTTTCTGTGTCTCCATTGCCCCCAATAGAACTCAACCCACAGGACATGGTAGGGAGAGAGTTAACTCAAGCGAATCTGTATTCTGATGTTTCACTGCTGACTCTGCCTCTCCTGTTTGATGCCAAAAAATCTATTCCATCCCAGAATTCCTGTCTGCAGGTCAGTGGGACAGACATCAGCTGGGATTGGAGTTGGCCACGGACAATAACATAAAGCAAATCATTAAATGCCAGTTGTTCAGAATTTAGTGACTGGGCTTTTAACCTTTGTCTCTTCAACACAGAATCTTTATCATCCACAAAGGCCAAGGTTGATTTATAGTAAAGAAGTAACCAAAGATGTAACCAAAGACTAAATTGTGAATTTATTTATTTAATAAGTGAAGGAATCATCTCATAATGAAATACCATGCTGTTAAAAATGTAGACTATGTAGTGGGACAGAAAGGCATTCATAATTGATAAGTAAAACTGAAAGGAATCAAACTCTGTTTTAACAGGTACCATTATGAAAAAGATTAAAATAACAAGTATTCTAATGATTAAGAGCAAAGGTTTATAGATAGTGCTCTTGAATTAGGTTCTGATGTCACTTGCTATATGTAGGAATCTCATACTTATCTGTAAAATTGTGATAATGAAATCCTTACCTCATGGGGTTATTGCAAGGATTAAATAAAATAGTATATATAAAGCATTTGTGTGGTGCCTGGCCCCTATGGGTTCTCCCTATACGTTAGCTACAAAGAACTCACAGAAAACATCTGAACACATCATAGTGGTAGTGAGATATGGGTGATCCTTACCATAATTTCTAAAGTTTCTATAACAACTTTAAAATAAGAAGAAGAACTACAGTTCTGGGCAGCATCTGCCTATTTCAGGTGTGTAAGCTGGGGGCAGAGCTCACCTTGGTCTGGTACAGTGCCTCGGCCTCATCCTTGCTCCTCTGTGCAATCAGCTCATACTGAGCCTGCACTGCATCAATGATGCTGTCCAGGTCCAGGGAGCGGTTATTGTCCATGGATAGGATGACATTGGTGTCACTGATGTGGGTCTGCATCTGGGACAGCTCCTGTGAGACATGGAGTACCATTGACCCCTTCCACTCTCCTAGAGTCTCAGTTTCTCTCAAGGTTCCCTAGGGAGGCCAGAAGCCTGGACCAGGAGGGAGCCTCAGAGGAAAGTTCTTTCAATTGTTGTATGCAAAAAGAGGGAATGGGGAGAGTCTTAATTGCTTCAAATAAAGTAATGGGACCCAGGCTTACCCTCCAGGGGGGAGGCAGGCTTCTGAACTTAGAGCCCTCATGGCCCCACCTTCCCATCAGGCCTCACCTGTGCCCTCCATCCCAACCTTACTCTTGCTTGGCCGCCATCTTGAACTGCATCCTCTGACAAGCATATTAGCTCATGTGCTTTCAAAGGAAATAGAAAGGACTGCCATTATGGAGCCATTTGACTAGCTGGGTTACTGAGAAAGTGGCTCAGTTTTCTGTTCTGTAGAATAGAGACACCCAGAAGATAAATAGAGCTCCTATCAGCACCTGGCCCAGAGCATGTGTCCCCAAGTTAGACATGGGTGATAGGAGGACCAGGGGTGTGCAAGTGTACTATCCCACACCCCTGCAGTTTGTCCTTGCTCCCTTTAAAATCCATAGTCATCTCCTACAGAGTTCTCTAACAGCCCTATTGATGTCCCAGAATGCATGACAATTTCTGGCTGGTTTTGCTCCTATATGTCTTGGTGTCAACCTCATTTCCCAGACAGATTGGAAGACATGAAGCAGAGGCAACTTTTTTTTCTCCAACCTTAGGATCTCACTGCCTCCATCTCCACTGCCCCCACCCAGGAACACGGAGGACTGGAGGGTGAGGAAACAGCTGACTCCAGGCCCACAGAGTTGAGTGAGTGGGAAGATAAACCCCTGGTGGGTACTACTGGATTTCAGGCCTCCCCTCTTTCAGCACATTCCCCTTATGAGATGGGAGATAAGAACAGGGTTTCCTATAAGGACTGAACTTACTGTGTCAAATAAATATTTCAGGAAATTGATCTCCCCAATCAGAGTGTCTGCTTTGGACTGCAGATCCACTTTGCCCATGAAAGCAGCATCCACATCCTAAACAACAAGCAAAGATGGTTTGCTTATCCACCACCAGGTATTATCTACCACACCTGTCTTTCCACCCAGGAAAGTGACAAATCCTCTCTGGGTTTTTCCTTGTCTAAAAATGTCATCACCTCACTCAAATAAGAGGCCTGCAAACCATGGCTTTCTCAGTCAGAAGGAGATAGATATCAACCTCCACACCTTGGTCAATCACACACGGCACCCTTGAACCTCCCCAAGTCCCAAGGCCACATATGACTGACACTCAAAAGCTGTTAATTAATCAATTTCATTTTCAGAAGCCTGGAGAGGCAAGAACCAGAGGGTTCCCAAAGAGTCATATTAGTGTCAATTTCCAATTTTCCCTTCAGTATAAGGGCTATGCATTTGGGCAATGCACACCAAGCTGGCCCCAGAGGTCATCTTGCAAGTCACAGGGATTTTTCATCCCACCCAGTCTTCTGCATCCACAGTCCCCCAGGGACTTCCCTTCCCCTCACCTTCTTCAGAACCACAAAGTCATTCTCAGTGCTGGTCCTCTTGTTGATTTCTTCCTCGTACCTGTGGGGCAGCAAAGAGCACAGAGGGGCTGCAGCAGCTGACCTTGGCTCCCTGATGTTTCCCCCACAGCAGCAGAAAGTTCAGACTTCCCCAGACCTCTACTGTCCTGGACTTGAGAGTTCTGATTACAACACAGTTGTCTCCTGCCAGGGCCTGGTGCTCTCACTGGTAAGTGGCTGGAGCCACCTCCTGCTTCTCCAAGCCAACAGAAGGGACAAGGACCCAACAAGGAAAATCGAGAGCCACACAGAATTCCCCCCAAAATACCCATTTTTATTCTGATGTTTTACCTTTGCAAAGTGTCAAACTCAATCATTTTTTTCCAGTTAAGAATCACTTTTACTAAATTTGTAAGAGAAAAAAAATTCTGCCTCCAGCACCCCCAGGGTGAGTTTTATTTTTTCCCTTGTTGATTCACATACATTTGACTCCACACTGGCTTTATACAGGAAGAATGTCAAAGTGATGTTAAGAGAAACACCCCACATGGGGAAGAAGAAAGAGGGAAAGGCCACTTAGTCACCTACACAGTTGCTCAGAGCAGCTGATCTGAAATTTAACAGCTCCTGCCCCCTCCCCACCATTGCTATTAATATATTGAGTAGCCTAGCATGTGCAAGTAAATTACTAAGAACTGATTAAGCCCAATTTCATTTGAACTAATGATTCTCAAAGTGTGGTCCCCAAACCACCAGCATCAACATCAATTAAAAAATATGTTAGAAATGCATAAGAGCTGACCCCACCCCAGACCTACAGAATCAGAAGCTCTTGGGGAGGACTCAGCGATCTGATTGCAGCAAGCTGATGCACACTGAAGTCTGAGAACCACAGACCAACCCATCACAATAATTCAGCAAGGTACTTACTATCCCCACTTACTAATATGAGAACTGAAGACAGATTAATTTTTAAGCAGCTAATAAGTGTCAGAGCTTATTTAGCTCCAACAACCATAAAGCTATGCTCCCCCAACCCACTCAATACAATTGACAAGTACCATCTTACCAGGGCTGCCATATGCAAAATGGCACCCCCTGCAGTTGTGCAATGCAGAGCCTGAATGACTGCACCTGATGGGCCCAGTCCCACCTCTTACACGTAGACACTGAAGCAAAATATCTTGCCCCTGAGAATCAGTTCCCTGCTACGATCCTCCCAGACCCCTTTGCCCCGCCTTAAGCCTCACTTGTTCTTGTAGTCCTCCACGACATCCTGAATGCCCCTGATCTCCGTGTTCTTGCGCATCTGCTCTGAATTGAGAAAATCCACCTGCCTCCTCAGCTCACTAATATAGCTCTCCAAGACAGGCTCCAGGTTGTTACTCCGCGTGGAGGTGTTGACTTGCTGCAGTAGCTCCCATTTTGTTTGTAGCACCTGGTTCTGCTGCTCGAGGAATCGCACCTAAAAACAAAGACCCCAGTCCACCTCAGGCCATGGGTCAGAGCAGCTCTCCCACAGGAAGGGGAATCAGCAGCCCCATGCATGTGCAGACCTCAGAGAATCAGATGGCCCCTCCAGAGGTCAGAGAGTTTCCCCCATCTGGGACAAGGACACACAGAAGACAATGTAGTTTTTGATGGTGACCAATGCTTATAAGGTCAATTTGTCTAAAACTAACACTGAGCCAAGTGCTGTGGTGCCCGCCTATAAATCCCAGTGGCTCGGGATGCTAAGGCAGGAGGATCACAAATTCAAAGACAGTCTGAACAGCTTAGCCCTAAGCAACTCAGCGAGACCCTGTCTCTAAATAAAAAATGAAAAAGGACTAGGGATGTGGCTCAGTGGTTAAGCGCCCCCTAGGTCCAATCTCTGGTACTAAAAAAGAAAAAAAGAATAAAATCAACACTGAGATCACTCTGGTTTGAAGGTGCATTGCTTCCAACTGAGTACCATGTTCATTTAGCTATAACCACTGGCATCATTCAATTTATCCATGCCAACATAAGAAAATATTGTTTTGAAACTCTAACAAATCCAAGGCTCCTTTCTCTTGTGGCTGACATGGGTCATGCAATTGAGGACAGGAAGAAGTGAGAAGAGAAAAGGAAAAACTGGGCTTGGAATATTAAAACTAATTCCTGAAGCCAGGTGTAGTGTTGCACATCTGTAATCCCAACCACTCAGGAGTCTGAGGCAGGAAGACCTAAAATTCAAGGCCAATCTCACCAACTTATTAGCAAGACCTTCAGCAACTTAGTGATACCCTGTCTCTGAGTAGAAAATAAAAAGGGTTAGGGATGTTGCTCAATGGTAGAGCATCTCTAGGTTCATGCCCACTATTCAAAATAATTTATTAATTAATTTAATTAATTTCTGAGAAAGCTTATCTGAGTGCCCCTAGAGCTACCACTATCCCTGCTGCCTGCCAGCAAGGTTTTCAGTAAATTTACCATATTTAAATGTTTATAGACCCCAGAGTGAAATTTAAAAATAAATATTCTCATTTTCTAAATTGTATAATGTATTCAAGTTCCCTGAAATAAGAACTTTGGGTTGGCAGGTGCTGGGAAGAAATACCCAAGTTGCTTTTCCCAGGAAATAGAGTAGACATCACCCTATATCTTCATTCCTTCCTCAAAACTGGGTACAAAGATGGTATACAGGGGCCAGAGAGGTGGCGGCTGTGCAGACCTAGCACATGAATTGCCCTTCACACCTTACTGACCTACATTCACCTTCCCTCTTCTAGTTGCCAACAGAGGGAGCCTCCCCTCCCATGCATAGATGGAGATGGCAGTGCTGCCTCTGCTTTGCTCATGTACCTGTGTGTGTGTGCACGCACACACAAACCCTCTGTAATCCAGCTCCCTTCTCCAAGAGCTTTGCAAAGGGCAACCCCCTCTGTTTTGAATGGTCAGAGCAGAACCCTGCCAACAGTCCCCTACAATGTGGCCCTAAGGGGAGTATCTAGAATCTCCCAGTCCCTGGTGCATCTAAGGGTTAGTCCTTGCTAACTCCCTTTGGATCCTGACTCCACATTGGAAAATGTAAATAGAGCATTATTTCCCACAGCTCATTTTTGCTAGCTCTATCAAAGTCAGAGATTGGGCAACAGGTTTATCAGCTTCACTCATTAATGCCTGATGAGACATTCCTGCCACTGACTATTTTTACTCCATGTTATGCTCCCAGTTAATTCTACACTCATTCACAGCCCTGTGTTGGGTGACAGTGGCATTGTGGAGACTCAAAGAAAGAATCTTGTTGTAGGAACAACGCTAGATCATATAGGTCCTTATGGGATTGGGGCTTTTATTCCAAAAGAGATAAGAAACGTCCTTTAAATGGATGAGTGCTGTGCTCTGCTCTGGTCTTGAAAGCAGGCTGCACAGGGCTAAGGGGAAATGAAGGAAGACCACTTAGAAAGCTTCTGCCTCCATCCAGACCACAGTTCGCCTGGCTGAGGAGCCTCTCTTCATGGTCATCACAGGCCACGCCCTTGGGAAAGGACTGGAAGCCAAAGCCTCTGATACCTTGGCTTTTGCCCAAAGCCCATGCCATAAAACTGGACAGACACTCTGTCAATGACAGGAACCATAACCCAATGAGAGTCTCAGGAGGTCAGTTGTCAGAAGCTCTTCCTCCCTCTCCTCCATTAGTATAACCTTGACCTCCTACTGTTATCTCCTTCGGCTTCACATCCTTGCTCCAACCAAATGCTCCCGGCCCTTTCTGTTCCTGGGGTGCGATTACATTCACCCAAATTCCCCATTCAGGGTGATCAGAAGGAGTCAGAAGCACCTGGCTCTGTTTGTCTGTAAGCCTCAACAGTCTACCCCACCTCCTCCTGTGCTCACATGTTCCACATGTTCTGTCCTGTCCCCTGTGTTTGCCCAGATATCAGGCAGTGGCCACTGTACTGCTACCTCTAGACAAAAGGAAATGCTAGAGGAAGCTCTTTGCCATAGATATTCCACTAGCCTCTGCCTGGTGACATGGGCCTGAACCAGACCTAGTCTGAGTTTTAATCAGGGAACTAAAGAGAGAGTCTTCCCTGGCTCCATCTGGCCCTTTCTTGGTCCTAGATAAGCTACAAGGAGGAACTCAAGGATGCTACATGGTATGTTACTGACTTCAGCTCCCAGGGATAACCAGCGGCCAGCACATCAGCCTAGGCCTTACCATGGCTTGTGAGCCTACTATTCCTGCCTGTCTCGGCAGTTTCCCCTTCTCTTCTCCCCTTTCCCTTCTATTATGGATTTTTCTCCAGGATTTCTAACTATTTGAAGTTCCCTGAAGGTATTGTATCTTTATGCCTCCTGGTCCTTCTGCTTAAAAATTCCCTTTGCCCTGAAATCCCGTTGGGCTCTTCCTCCACTCTCAAGATTCAGGTCAGACCTGGGGCTCCAAAGAAGCCCTCCAAGAATCCAGCAGGCAGAACTCATGGGAAGCAGCAGGAGGATTTGGAGGGAGCTCGTGGCTCTCTTTTTGAGATACCATGGCCAGAGAGTACTACCCCTGTTACATACCCCCTACACACTGTTGCAACTCTCCCCTTTAGATGTGGGTCTCCGTGAGAGCAGAACTTGTGTCCTGTTCACCCCTATAGCACCTGGTACAGTGTATGACATATAGTAGATGCTTAGTATTTGTGGGTTCAATGGTTGGGTAGATGGGTATACTATTGGATGGGTAGGAGGATGAATGGATGGATAAATAAGTGGGAAGTATATAAATAAGTGCAGTGATGGGAAGATGGATGATAGATATGTGTGGATGATGGATGGATGGATGGATGGATGGATGGATGGATGGATGGATGGATGGCTATGGGAGGATGAGTTTGGGGGTGTTTAGATGGGTGGGTACAAGGATTGATGGATAAATATGTATGGATAGATGAATGGATGAATATGTGTGGGTGGATGAATGAAGGAAGGCAGCTAAGAGGGAAGGCTATGTGTAGATATTAATGGGAAGATGGATGGATGGATGAGTATGGTGTATAAATCAATGTAGTAGATGGGTGGTGGAAAGATGAATAGATGGGTGGATGTGTATGAAGGGTGGGTGGATGGATGGATGAATGAGAGCATATGTGTTGGTGGGTGGGTAGATGAGCTGAAGGAGGGCAGGAGGGAAGGATGTGTGGATGGATGGATAAGAAGTGAATAATAAGAATGAGATCACTGCACTGAATATCTATCAGGTATTTCACATCCTTTATCTGTTTTCCTGCCAAAAGGGAAAGTAGATATAAATCCCTCCAAGAAAACAGGTTGAAGCCTAAATGAGGTAAATGCTTTCCTATCCTAGGACAAACACACAGAAGTGATCACTGATTATTATCATCCAACTGAAAAGTGCATACTTGGTGAGAGGTCACTTGGTCAGTGACCAAAGGTTCTGCCTGTCTCTAAGGTACTCACCTTATCAATGAAGGAGGCAAATCTGTTGTTGAGAATCTTGATTTGCTCCCGCTCCTGGGTCTTGATCCTCTGAATTTCAGGGTCCACCTCTAGGTGAAGTGGCTCTAGAAGGCTCTGGTTAATGGTCACCTCTTGGATGCTTCCTGGTGGATAAGAAGGACCAAAGCCCCCAAGCCCAAAATTGCTAGCCCCAAACCCAGCACCCCCAAAACCACTTCCTCCATAGCCACCACCTCCAAATCTGCCACCCCCAAAGCCACCACCTCCAAAGCCACCACCTCCAAAGCCACCACCTCCAAAGCCACTACCTCCATAGCCACCACTTCCAAAGCCACCACCCCCAAAGCTTCTGCCCCCTCCAAATCCTCCTCCTGATCCCCGACCCTGGCAGAAGCCACTGGCATTCCTCCCCACCATGCTAAAGGAGATGCTTTTACTGCCACCCAGATTGTAGAGGCTCCTTGAGCCAAAGCCCCTTCCATGGCTCCCATAGCCTCCACCGCCACCTCTGCCCAAGGCCTGACTCACAGACCCCACAGTCCGACTCCCACCACCACCAAAGCCCGAGGAGGACCTGGCACTATGGGCCCGCCTGCTCCTTGAGCTAAATGCAGACTGAGAACTAAATTGGCGACTCATGGTTGCTAGAGCAACCAGAGGCACAGACAGGAGCGAGAGTGCAGCTGGAAGGAGGCAGAGATCAAGAGGGAAGGAGCTGGCACTCCTTTGGAAGAGATCTGGCTCAGTCCCTATATATACACATCTGCTGGGCTGGGCACCCTCAGAATCTTGGGAGGGGAGTATTAATGTGTAGTTTGCCTGCCAGAACATCTGCTTCAAACCTCATACCTATACGAAATTACATTGCAGACAAACTTCCCCAACTTGATCGTTTATCATTCATCTCTTACCACTGGGAGATGGGACAGCAATAATCTCTGAGGATCTAGTTGCTGGAAACTCCTGCACAATTTCTCCCAAATCATTAGTTGATTCCTAAGAAACTCCACTTGTTTGTTTGGGGGTGTGCCTGGGAGATCTGGAGCAAAGCTAGGGGGTATCTAGTGACCTTGGGACCACATTTGGGATTAGGTGGATACTCCTAAAGTCATAGCACTGTCTTGGTGGGCAACAGGTTTTTCTTTTATATCTTTGTTTTACAAACAACAAAGTTTTTTGTTGAGCATTTACCAATACCTAATATTGTCTTCTAGACCAGGAAACAAAATGTCTCTTTTTCTGTTTTATCATTCCTAATCTGTTATAGATAAATTTTTTGTTATAGACAATATTTTTATAAAATAGCATAAAATTAATCATTCTTTGATGATTTAAAAGCCAGAGATACACAGAACATAAGCCCTATTTTTTAAATTTTTTTCATTTTTAGATTCAGCAATTAAAAATTGTCCTATTGACAAAAATTACAGTAGAAAGTCCTTAAATGGTTACTCTAAAATTAGTAATAAACTAGTAATAAAGAGTCCATGGGCCAGCAATGGCCTGAGCTTCTCCTCGTGTAACAGATAACATGCCTGGGGTAACCTAACTTCATGAGCATCATTGGCAGCCAACAAAAATGTGTGTTGCCTTCTGGGGCAAAATATCTAGTGGTTCTCATATGAAATGTAATAATACATTTTTTCAACTTGAAAGGAGAAAAAACCCTAAAAGCCCAATCTCCACAAAATGGCTAAGTGATGGTTTGCCCACCTGGACACAATTATTTAAAGTCATAATCCTGGAGACTTCATAACAGAACTGGAAAACACTTATGGACAAAATGTTAAATGAAAGGTGCAGAATATACGATAGGGTCTATGCTATGAGCTCATAAAAAGGAAGAGTCCAAAGAAGGCACACTTATAATGCAACATAGAATGGCAGCTATCAAGAATACAAACAACAATAAATGTTGGCGAGGATGTGGGGGGAAAGGTATACTCATACATTGCTGGTGAGAATACAAATTGATGCAACCATTATGGAAAGCAGAATGGAGATTCCTCAGAAAACTTGGAATGGAACCACCATATGACCCAGCTATCCCACTCCTCGGTTTATAACCAAAGGACTTAAACCAACATATTATAGTGTTGTAACCACATCAATGTATATAGCAGCTTAACTCACAATAGCTAAACTATGGAACCAACCATAGTGCCCATCAACAGATAAATGGAAAAAAATGTGAGATATAAATATATGTATAATATATATATATATATATACACACACACACACACATATATATATGTAGTTATATGCATATATATGATGGAATCTCTCTCAGCCTTAAAGAAGAATGAAATTATGGCATTTGCCTGTAGATAGATGGAGCTGGAGAATATCGTGCCAAGCAAAATAAGCCAATCCCAAAAACCAAGGGATGAATATTTTCTCTGATATTCGGATGCTAATTCACTATGTGGAGGGTGGGGGCAGCACCAGGGAAGAATAGGGTTACTTTAGATTAGGTAGAATAGAGTGAAGGGAGGGAAGGGGTATGGGGTAGGAAGGATAGTAGGATACTTATTTAGAAAGAATAGAGAAGAGGTTAATTATGGGCATTCTTTACAGATGGGCTTGGAAGTGAGTAGTGAAGGAAGGCCTTGCTGCACGTGGAGAGGGGGCACAGGCTCTGGAGTCTGCAGGGAAGGCTCACGAAGGTACCGGGGAAGGAGCCCACTTGGGGCCTCTTCAGGTCAGATATTGTTACCCTATGTACATATATAACTATACAACTGGTGGGATTCTACATCATGTACAAACAGAAGAATGATCAATTATACTCCATTATATATGATTATCAAAATGCATTCTGCAGTCATGTATAACCAATTAAAACAAATAAATTTTGTTTTAAAAAGTAACATAGAAAGTGAATTGATCTACTACAGATTGTAGGAGGTTTTCTCCCAGGATTTTAAATGTCCTTTTCCGTTGTGTTCAGCACTAAATACATAATTTTTTTTGCAAAAATTGGAGCTAAAAATCACAGGTGCCCCCAAAAGTTATAGTAGAAATCCCAACAGAGGTGAGAAAGGGCAGGTGGTAGGAAAGAACAAGAGTTGGCTAGAACAGCAGCAAGGAGAAGCTGCCTAGGGCAGGGAGATTTCCAGGCCTTCTTGTCATTGCCTCTTGATGCTTGTGTTTGTTAACCATTTAATGGGTCATCTCCAGGAGACACTATAGGCTAAAAGAGAGAGTGAGCCCAAAATCAGCTTCCAGACCTGCTTCTTCCTGGCTGTGTAATATCAAGCAAGCCACCAACTCTAGAGCTTCAGATACTCACAGTGTCTATTTCTCAGGGATTTGATGCTGAAAAACATGTAGGAAAAGGCAAAGAGAACTAGAATACAGTCAGCAAACATCAACACGGCTGCTCACAGATCCTGGTAGCATGACAATTATCTGACTTCACCAAGATTTTCAGTGTTTAAACCAGGACAATCTTGGGCAAATCACAATGGCTGGCTTCCTAGTTCTAGACATCTTTGGTCTACACAACCCTATTCCTAACCCTAACACCTGTGCAACTCATGGTGAAAAGTAAAGCCAGGCACAATGGTAAAGAGAGCCAGAGAAGGAAAGCTCAGTAGTGGTAGGGGATGGAATACCGTGGGAAAGCTGCCTGAGGGTGAGGAGTCTGAGTCAGGTGGATGGGGAGAAGAGGCCCCAAGTGGGGCCTCTTCAAGAGCCTTCCCTGCAGATTCTAGAGCCTGTGCCCCCTCCCCACATGCAGCAAGGCCTTCCCCCAACACTCACTTCCAAGCCCACCTGTAAAGAAAGCCCATAATTAACCTCTTCTCTATTCTTTCTAAATAAATAGGAAACTCCTTGATGTTAGGTCCAAAGCACATGAACCAGAAGCCCCTTGCCTCCCCAAAAAGTGCCTACCCGATTGCTGGGCAAAGTCAACCAATAGCAGAGACCCGCCCACCTAGGTTAAAGTGAAGACCAATGAGTGGACATCTGGGAAAATCAAGAGCTTGGGCAGCATATGTAGCAACCCTTACTGAGCTGTTTGAACCCTGCGCGTTTGATGTTTACAGAACTTGACCATAATTAGGGAACGTGGATGCTAGCGTGGTTGGTGTTGTTTCGTGGCAATGGTTACAGCATTGAGAACTATAAGTGCTGTGGGTTTTTAGAGAGAAAAGTACCTGGAGAAGACTTCACAGAAATAAGGTCCTGGCCCAAGCCAGCCTCGAAGGATGTGCTTCATGCAGCAGGCAACATGTGCTGGGGCAGGGGTTTGGGACTAGGGAGAGACCAACCAAGGCCTAGAAGAAGAAATGGACACCATGAGGAGGGGATGGAGGGGCTATAGCCCTCCTGCCTTGAAGGAGAAGGTGGGGAAAATTGGAGCTGAGTTTGTGACTCATGGAAGGTACCAGCAAAGCCTTGGAGAAAAATTTTTTTCAAGAATCACCCAAGTGTGTATTTGTCTTCATGCTGACTAGAGGAGGCCATGTTAAACTGGATAAAGTAAAAGAGGAAGCCCCAGACAGCAGAGTGTACAAAGCTCCTTTTGATCTCTAGCTGTGACCAGAAGTCAACATCCAATACCAACACCTCAGTCTACCTCCTGTTGGCTGGATGGCCCCTAATGGGCCACTGTCCCTCCCTGGAAGGGTGGGGATGGGGAGGAAGGATGCCCAGATAATACAACTAGCCAAGGATTTGGTAGATGGCAGCTATCCCCTATTCCCTCTAACAAGGAAAAAAATGATTTAAAATGAAGCAGGAAGATTTGCTTGTCCTGAAGGAGATATTTAACCTCAGGTCATCATTAGAACATCATTAGAACATCATTAGAGGGTGAGGAAAGTTGCTGGGCCAAAGCACTGTCCTGAGGTAAACCCCTCAACTGGTGCTACAACACGGAGCAGTGGTTTCAAACTTGCTGCAGGAGAGCCCAATACCACTCCTGCCTGCTCGCCCCCACTTCCCAGGCACTGGGAATTACTGGTCTGGACTTTGGAACTTTTCAAAGGTCCCAAGTAGGCAGACAAATTTGGAGACCACTAGCCTGGAGGAAACAAGACAAACAAAATGACCTTTTGCAATTCCATTGGGTTCAAGGTCAAAATCATCATCATCATCATCATCATCATCATCATCATCATCATCATCATCATCAACAACATACTAGCCAAACTTTTCTTGAGTGCTTTTAGTGGGCTATGAGTGGTTTCAATAAATCTAAATATCAACACCATAAGGAAGGTATTTCAATTGACCTCATTCTACAGACAGGAAAAGAAGACAAGAGAGATAAAGCAACTTGTCCAAGAACACACAGAAGAAAGCGGTGGGATGACATGAACCCAGGTATTCCTCCTCCAGAACCCACCAGACTGCCTAGAGGAGGGGGTCCTTGGAGAGAAATGTGCCGCTTCCTCTCCTCCCCTTCTCCACTCACCGCCACCAGCTAGCACTCTCCTTAAAAGGAAAGTGAAAAGTCAGTTAAGGGCTTCAACTGGCCCCACCTGCCTCCCAGACGCTGAAACCCAGGACTGCCAAGAGGGTGAGGCCCAAGCCATTATCAGCCACCCAATCGCAGGCTTAGCAGCAGCTGGAGGCAGAGTTTGAAAGGAACTGTTGGTGTGGCCAGCAGAGGCAGCCCCCACAGCCCCATTCCCCACCTCACGCTGCATCTCCCAGGGTCTGCATGGAGGTGAGTATCACAGGGGTGTGATAGAGGCGTGGAGG